GGAACTCGACCAGCTGATCGATGCCCAAATCCAGGCGATGCGGCGACCACCCAAGGCTGTAGTCATTCACCTTGGCTCTAACGACCTGTGCTCCACAAAGGCGAGCCAGCTGCTGGGTGATATGGAGATGTCCATAAAGCGGCTACAGGTCCACCTGCCGAACGCCAAGATATTATACTCCAACATCTTGCCACGCCGTTATTGGCATAATGCGCGGGACCCACGTAAGGTCCAAACTAAACAGGCGTCTAGCCAACCATTTTACGCAAATTCCTAACTTTGTAGTAATCCCCCATCCACATATAGTGGCAACGGACCCATCCTGGTTCCAGTGGGATGGGACACACCTTAGCACTAAAGGTGTTCATCAATTCGTCAGATATAAACGATGCCTTGGTACAAATTTTCAAGTAAGTACATATTAAAGAGGTAAGTGAATTTCTTATATGAGGCAATCATGGCGGGTACGCGTATCTTCAGCCTTAGCCGTATGGTGTGGGGTAGCACTGTTGTGCTAGGTGGCGTGGTACTTGTGGGCTACCTTTCAACATAACTCATAAGAATATATATATGTTAATTAGGGTTTCCGGTTACCTGCTTTCCAGCGGGAACCTCGGCTGGGTTACCTTCTTACCAGTTGGAACCCAGTCTTTCCCGGGTTTTCACTCAGGTAATCTAGTAACAGTTAAGTTAAGTATCGGGGCCTGGCGGCGTTCGCTCCCAATTAGACCTGCGACGTTTCCGTCATTTGGGCCTTAGCATTAATTAGAGATTAGCAATTACACAGCTGGGCCTGGCGGCGTTCGCTCCCATTGTTGACCCCAAGCGTTTATCGGGTTGCGACGTTTCCGTCATTGGGGTCTTAGCATTAATTATAGATTAGCAATTACACAGCTGGGCCTGGCGGCGTTCGCTCCCAATTTTGACCCCCAGCTTTGGTCGGGTTGCGACGTTTCCGTCATTTGGGCCTCAGCATTCTTTGGCTAATAACAATTATGTTGGCGACGCTAGTTGCCACACAGCTAAAATCTTTTAGGCTTATTATTAGCATTCTATTTCAAGATTGGGGTAGCCCACTAGAACCTCCACACCCTCGGCCATTAAATCCATAGTTGCGCCTCTGTTTTTCCTTCATTGTAGTCCTCTTCTCAGGAAAGTGGGTTCTTACTGCAATATCATGCGATAAATCAAACAAACTGAAAAATAACCAACCTAACCGCCAACAGGATACTTATATTTTTTAAAATAACATCTTTGTGAAAATCTATAAATATCCCAAAGTTGAAGACATACATATTTACAATTAGTGATTGACACTAAATGCGGTTATCAAAACCATTCTCGTGTTTACTTCAGCATTCTGTTATCTGCCGCCTTAGTTACGTCACTTAGTTACCAATTACGTCATGTATTATACGAGTGCCGATTACGTCACTTTCTGAATGTCATTCGCGCCGATCTCATCGTGCCGTCAACATCATTCTGTAAAATCCCCGCTCTAGCTTGCCTTGTTATTATATATTTTGCAATATAAATTCTTAAACGTTTCAATCCCTCTGTAAATGCTCCTGATACTTCACAGCGAAGTAATACTTTATCTATCATTTTGCTGCAACTTCGTTTGCCAATACATATCCTGCTGCTGTCTACTCCGTAGTCGTCCGATTTAACTCCTCTTCCATAGTTATTACGTTAGGGCCCCTCCAAGAACCGCCACGATCATGACCATTAACCCGTAACAATTTTTATTATTTGTGTTGTATGCGCGACGTCAACGCACATTGGGTGACGCTGCCTGTCCAATTGAGAATGTGTTTTGATCATTAGTTTCACAATCATACATTTTCAGTATTATATTTAGATCTATTCTTAAAAGACATTATTTTTTAAAGGTCAATGTTACTTGTGTATGATCCTAAAACTGTACATTATTTTCTGGAACAGGAGCAACACAAGGAAGAAGTCGGAAGGCAATGTTCCAGACCGGCAGAGAGCCCCCACCTTTTTTAATATAAAGTTAATTGATTAAACCAAATTGATGGTTGCACAGGCTGGATAGTGAAGACTTGTAAGATTTTCCTTTCATTATTAGAATTTAGTACTAAAAACTAAATGCCTTTATGGCAGGGATGCGTAACTTTAATTACCGTATATCATCTACCTCCGCGTGCGCAGACATGCTATGTCATCAATTTTGCCTACAACGTCATATAACGTTAGCTTTCCGCCGGTATCGCCGCCATCATATCGTTCGGTCGACGCTGTCATCCTTCACCCGCCCGCTTCTCTTCAACATTTCACTTTCCTTTGATTTTCTCTCCAGCTGTACATATCAGTGCCGCCATTCTTGGTAAGTATGTATATTCATCCTACTGGAATAAAACCGTCTAGGGTAACGGGGTGCTCGTGGGCTGCTGTTATGTTTGGCTGCACGTCTAAATTTTGCACTGTTAGGGTCTTCTGCTTTACAGCAAGGATCAGGTATATCCGGTCTGCTTTACAGCAGGTGACTAGAGTCTGCTTTGCAGGAAACAGTTGGCTTGGCAACGGCAGTTGCCCTGGCTCAATATTCTTTTACATTCGGTGCCTGGCAGCGGTAGCGCCATGGCAAGGGTTACCGTTACTACGTCAGCGATATGCAGGTGCATTTTCATTACTACTAATTCAGCAGCCCTCGAGCACCCCTACACTCTAGGCCATTTAACCCATATACGTCTTTATTATTTTTGCCTGAGGGCGAAGTATCTCCTGTTATAACATGACGGACGGTATCGATTCATTAACTCCACATGGTCGAATAAATCGAGGGGCACAATCCTATTATTTACATTCTTCTTATTGACGTTCTTATTCCTAAACACTGCATGAACAAGTAGGACGCCACGTTGATTTTGTCTAGAACATATTAAAAAGAAGTCAAAACCTATCCAAGTGCTAGAATAAGATTCAGTTCTATCGAATATCGTACAATCTCCTAACTGAAGTTCCGTCCACTTTGATTGGTCCGCAATAGCTAATATGATTACGTGTGGCATAGCCTGACCTTTGTCGGTTGAAATGCAGTAATTCCCAACTCTACTTTTAGCTATCGTATGTATTTGTCATGCGCCTTCCCTTTCGAGATATGATTGGTTATCGCGTTGCGCAATAGCGACTCTCCAGTTCTTGCCGAGGTTGACGTCAAGGTCACGATCCGAAAACCTCTACGCGCGACAGACTAAATTGGTAAATTTAAAAGTGTGAGTTTAGTTTTGCGCCGCGCTCAACAATTTTCCAGCTATATGGCGGCGGTCTGTAAATAATCGAGTCTGAAATACTGAAATTTAAAATGCACTTACGGTTCGGAAACCTGACCAAAAATGTAGTATTCAAACACAGTGACCGGTTTGATACAACTTTCAACATAAAAATGAAAATGGAGCGTTCGTTATTTGATCCCCACATTATATATATATTTTTGCTATGATCCTTATTTCGTACAGTGAAATTTTAGTTTTGCGCCACGCTCAACAATTTTCCAGCTATATGGCGGCGGTCTGTAAATAATCGAGTCTGAAATACTGAAATTTATAATGCACTTACGGTTCGGAAACCTGACCAAAACTGTAGTCTTCAAACACAGTGACCGGTTTGATACAGGTCACTGTCAACATAAAAATGAAAATGGAGCGTTCGTTATTTGATCCCCACATTATTATATATTTATGCTATGATCCTTATTTCGTACAGTGAAATTTTATTTTTTCTCCATGTAATGTTTACTCATATGAAACATTTGTACAGGCTTCAACTTCTCGTGCTCGACAGCCACAATTCGCACAAAACACTCGGGTTTCTGGAGAAGGCAAATGATGAAACTAGCTTTTTCCTCCTCACACAACCCAGTGGCTTTGCCCTCTGGACAAATCAGTCTTTGGTCCTAAGTAGGAAGTGGAACAGTGAATTTATCGTGCAAGTCCCAATAACCTGGTGACCAAATGGGAATGGCCCGTTTGTTCAGACAAGCTTATACAGTATGGCTTTCACGCCCTCAAATGTTTGTAGTGGATTTCGCAAATGTGGAATACTAGTATTCCCTGTAAATAGGAATTCAATCCCAGGTAAGGCTTTTGTCCCATAGCAAGCATACTCTTTCACGTTAACTTTGATTCATCTGGAGAAGAGGGAGTTGCTGACAATCTGGTGAATTCTGATACTATCACACCTGATGCCGGAGTGTCTGCTACCCCAATAGGTGGGACAGTGGATCGATTTACATCTGAAGCAGTGTAGAGGGCGCATCCCTTATGTCGGACACGGAACCCCTGTTCTTTGGATGAAACCGGCAACTTAGTTGTTGAAATAGCTGCAGTCTCCGAGCTGCTGCGATGGACGCTGTGAAGTTTTCCTTCCAGCTCCTGTAATGAAATAACAAAGTTCAAAAGTCAACGGAAGCGGACTTCTCACCGCATACTGACGAGCGATGAGATGATTAAGGTGTAAGCAGGAAAAAAGAGATGAGAAAGAAAAACTAGAAAGAGAAAAACAAGCGCGTTTGGAAGCCAGGCAATCTCGGCAGAAGTGTGGGAAGTCAGCTAATCTACGATTATCTTGTAAATACCTAAACAACATTTGTTTCTATCGTACTGGAGTATCTGCTGGAAGAGAGTGTAGCCGAGTGTGTCTCCGTTTTTTCGTAAACACCATACAACAGGAGACATTAGAGAGGTTGAGCAGCGCTACGTATACATGTACGCCTACGTGTGATCAGGGGATTCCCTAAATACCTGTGTATTACGTCATCACTATTTGCTGACCTGTCATCCTACAAGTTTCCGCTGTCGCCTACTTCGAAGGATACACGTAAGTGAAAACTTGTGAGCTTGTTTTAAAAAACCCAGCTGAATAGACTGTTGTATCGTTAAGATATTGTGTTAAATTACGTATCAAGGTATCATCAGTAATAAATTAGTGACCAGTTTCTGTGGAATATAACGCGTTTTATGCAGTATTCTAGACTCGAGATTCAACCTATCGCTAAAGGCAGGTCATCATTAGAATCGTTGATATTAATTATTTATCATGAGAGTATGTTCCAGACATGTGTCTTTATGAATAATTTCGTATTTCAGTATGGCAAAACGCAAGTCAGGTTTTCTGAAAAAGACGATGTCAAATTGCTGAGGGAAGTGTTGGCTGCCAACCCGTTCAAAGACAAGGGAAAATGGCAAACAGCAGCAGACAACTTGACAAGTACACGGTCAGACTTCAAAGTCGATGCTAGGCGAGTTAAGGAGAGGACGCACTTGATGTTAGACCAATTCACAAAGAAACCTGCGGAAGATTTGAAAAGGTAATAAATGATATTTAACATCAGATTCTAATTATCATATGCATTTAATCTATAGCCTATACTATATGCATTTAATCTATAGCCTAAACGTAGATCAGTTTAAATCCGCCGCTAATATAACAAAAACAGCCCAAATCTATTTACTTATATTAATATTATTCTTTTTTAAATCTACGCATCGACGCAATACATTTTGAAAAATGCAAAAGAAGCGGCTGTAAAAAAGGAGTACTGCATGTTTTCACAAGGACACATGATTAAAACTTTACATTAAATTTGAAATTACTAATCAATTCAAGTTAAATTAAATAGGAAATCTTAGAGTAATCCTTTTTCGATATTTAAAGTTCAGTAGATCATTACAATATCAAACCTCTGAGGCTCTGATAATAATTATTGTTTTCCAGCTCTGGCAACACTGAGGAATATGATGAAAAGATTGCTTTCTTGGACGAAATAACAGAACTCAAGGAGGAAGAGGATAGGCATCGTGAGGAGGAAAAGTCTAAGAAAATTGCGAATGAGTATAAAGGGAAGAAAGAAGGCTATGGAGGGTATGAGTAAAGCAGGGATAAATCTACCCCCGCGTCTCTGACGAAATAAATTCTGGCAGGATTCATATTTGTTTTACATGTGCGTCCTCTTGGACGCAAGCTTTTGATGAAACACTAATGTTAAATTTTGTGGAGAGGCAATATCATCGTTATGCACGAAATGGCTGTCTTCGTACTCCTGGAAATTACGTGTCTTAAAATAATCATTTTCTTCAAAACACGACAGCTGATTGGCGGACTAGTCAGCAGCCAATCGGAAGCAAGCTTGTATACTACCAAAGTTTCTGTCGTGTTACTGGGCTCTACATTGCGAGTGAAACAGTCGCAAATGCGAGTGAATTTTCGAAGTAGCGACTAAAAATAATAAAACACTTATGAACTGGCGACTGCTTCATTTGGTGACATTAACTTCCATTCTCAAATAATTGACGTCAGCTAATAACTACACATTATTTTTAAAACGATCGCAGCTTTCATTCGTCATGATATTCAGTTCATTTCCGCGTTTCCAAAAGTAGACATGTAGGTCACACAAAGGAAGGTAAGCGATATGCAAATGAGATCCCAAGATTCATTGCTCCTGGAAAAGTACGTGTTTAAAAATAACCATTTTCTTCGAAACGCGGCAGCTGATTGGCTGACAATAAATAAGCAGCCAATCGGAAGCAAGCTTGTGGGAAACCAAGTTTCTCTCATGTAGCAGTCGACATGCCACCGAGAAAGATACAAAAGCTGTCAATTTCTCAAAAAACATTAACTTCTTTGTTTGGTCAAGGTGACACAAACAAAAATACAACCCAGACAAGTGAATATTCAGCTCTGCCCAAGAAGCCGGTGATACTATAAGAAAACAAAAAGTTAGGAAATTTCAGTCAAGTTGGCCGAATATTCATCGGTCAAAGCTGACTTACGACAGGAAAGGAGATTTCATGTTTTGTACACTATGTACTGAAAATGGCATGACACATGATGCTAAATGCAGAAATTTTCATAGTACAACGTTGACCAGACATCTTAATCATAATGATCATAAACTGTCCGTTCAGACTCCAAAACTTTGTGATGATTTCGAGGTTGCAACTGCACGTATGTATGAGAAACAGGACAAAGCAGCTATCGCCTTGATGAAGTCTGTTCACTGGTTAATTTGTGAAAACATTCCACTGACAAAGTTTAAAAGTTTTGTTGACTTTTTACATGAATTTGAAACCGAAGACATTGAAATTCTCAAGGAAGGTAAAATCAACTATGATTCTCCAACCAGTGCCAGTGATCTATTAACATCTATGTTTGATGTTATTGAGGAACACCTTCGAATTAAAATGGAAAAGTCTCCATTTGTTACGGCCTTGGCAGACGAGAGTACGGACATCAGCAATCACAAACGCCTTGTCATTTACTGCCAAATAATACTCGATATGGTGCCAAGCACTCATTTTGTCACCAACATTGAGTGCACAGATGCGACAGGGAAAGGAATTGCAAGGGAAATATTGGATCAATTGAAGAAGCGTGGTGTCCCCCCACAGAAGATCATGAGTCTGGGATCAAGATTGAAATGAATTAAATTATTAATATTCTTCTTTATTAATTTTAGGTGCAGCTGCCATCATAAAGCGACAAAATCCACATTGTGCCAACATACACTGTATAGCTCACAAACTTGCCCTTTATACATCTCAGGCTGCATCCGGCATTCAGCATTTGAAGGATCATCAATAAGTTTTGACAGATCTGTTTTATTACTTTCGTGCCAGCAGTAAGAGAGCATCCATAATACAAGGAATTCAGAAAATACTTGAAGACCCAAAACTGACATATAAAGAGATTCACTCTGTTAGATGGCTGTCTTATTTTGAGGCATTGAGCTGTGTGTATCTAACTCTGGACAGTCTGCTTACTTACCTGTCAGAATTTGGCACAACCAGTGATCACATAGCTAATGGACCGAAAAAAAGGTGAGTCTAACACTTTTAACTAACATCATATTTAGTAAATATACCAGTAATCATTAGGAAATTATGTTCAATTTGTTGTACCTCAACTTTTAATGAGAACATGAATGTAATCTTTATTTAAATTTATTCTTTGCTTTTTATTCGAATCTTTCCACCTAGGTAGGCAGTCAAAAAGTTCATTTCCATCACATACATGATGATGGATGCTATGGCCCCAGTCGCAGCCCTCTCTCAATTCTTCCAGAAGGAAAATAGACCATTCTTAATGAGGCCTCATGAATATTCATATCTGTACCAAAACGAGGCTAAATGGGGCAAGGACACAATTGCATAATGGCGACAAATCTCAATGTGTACTTCCTGGTTTCAAATTTCCCTTGAACGGTACATTACGAAACTGTCCAGTAGTTCAGGGAAATCGCAGAGAAATGGGAAAGGGCTACACAAATGTTTCTGTAGCATATCCACAGATTGAATGGTGAATAATTACCGTACATCACGATAAGTCATATGACCTAGATATCTAGGTAACGTTTACCATGTTGCGCAGCATTCATGAAGGGGAAGCTACTCTAAAGTCACAATAGTGGAAATATTGCCAAGGGAAGTCAATTACGTTTACTTTATGAACATATGAACAAAGCAAAAGACTCAACGTATTTCCTGACCTGGATTCAAATCATCCACTTCCACATGGGAGTAGTGTTGTTAATTCTTGAGCTGGATAATCGAAATTATAAGTAATTTGTAGATCAAGATAGCTCTCCTCGAGTGGATCTGGACCAAACACATTTTTTGTATTATTCAGGTGATGAAATTATTTGTTTGGTATTTTTTCTGTTTAAAATGTTTTGTCCTATCGACTCTGTTTTATAGATATAGGGTATTTATTCACGCATTTATTTTCAGTTGTACAGGACTAGTGGTGATGGCGATGTGCGCGTAGCTGCATGTTACAATCGCCACGAATCGCCACATCATCATGTAGAAACTATTTATTTCAATCAACATGAGTGGGACCAGAGACCATATCTATTATATGGTCTCTGGTCGGACACAATGTGCAAGACAAAACTGGATGATTTTTTTCAAGTTCTTTCTTGACCGATTTGGAGGTGAATAATTATTTTACCTAAATGGACAAGTGGTACCTGCATGGGGAATATTTGAACCAATTTTCAATACTGTGTTACTATACCATAAAATTGATTTATTGTAGATCAGGTGTATTTATTCTGTACCACTGTAACTGAAGACATTTTAAGGAGAACATATTATCAGATTAACATAACAGGATTCACACTACAGCAAACAATTAACCCAAATAAATAACGAACACCTGGAGTGCAGTTAATAAAAATTTATTTTGAAATGGTGTCTTAAAAGTCCAATAACAATAGCCACATTCACAATAGCTTCCAACTGTAATACTGATGAATAACAATACAATATTCAGAGGATGCAAATTGAAAATATATTGGGTGCAATATTTATGTTGATAGAAGTATCCTTTTAGATTAGTCTGACATGAATGGCAACAATTACAGCTGGATCAATTCATAATTTATCATAGTTTTCTCCCCTTACACATTATCATAATCTCTTACCTATGAATGATGTTTTTTTCTGATTCCCAACTAACTCTTTTCAAACAGGATGAAATAAATTCTTTTTCATCAATCATTAATTAAACAGCAGCAAATGAGTTACATCTACAACTATGCCATTATGAAAGACCTTTCTATTATTCAGTTAAATCCATCAATGTGTATGTATTACAGCTGTCTCTTTTTTCATCCATCATTTACAAAACACAAAAGCACCAAACAATTTCATTTACATTCATGTCTGTCACTTCTTGTGCTGTTTGGGCAAGGTACTTCACAAAACCTGGGAAGATATTCAACAAATGAAAAAGTTCCAGCTAATCAGTGCCAATGTTTGAAATGATGGAATACTGTAAAATGTTCAATCAATTTTTATCATCATACATGAATTTACAAACTCCAAACTTTTCAAGTTCAAGTTTTCTGTTCAATTTTTCTATTTTGTCAACCTTTTCCTAGAGTTGCCTCTCCTGTTCATGTAAGTTTTGCTGGAGTTGTTCTATGTAGGACTGGGGTCAGTGGCTGCTGTATCACTCTCTGCTTCACTGTAATATAAGCATTGTAAAGCATCAGTATTATCTCTTCGACCACACAAACAATAAATATATCTCTGGAATTACAAATATACATCAAGGAATAGAGGCTAACATCATTTCATATTTTAGACAGTATGGGCAATCAATATTTTTATATGTAAATAACATAGCATATAGGTCAAAGTTCAGTTGTATTAAATTCTTTAAAACCATGTCAGTTGGCAAAATTAACTTAATACGATCTGACATTCTTACTGTATCTGAGATGGTGACTGTGGTAGATTCCTTATGGGAGGTTCCTGAGCTGGTGACATGCTCTCTGACTCTTAATTAGCAGCATCTGAAATGGATATTTAAACACTAAATATATTTCAGTTGGTGTAATTAGATTGTCCAGTAATATGTCCTGTATCCCTGAAGTACTGGTCAGTATGCTGTAATTTTGAAAGTAGATACATATTTAAGATTTTTTTAACAGCATGTGTATGTCCTGCATATATATGTACTTGAAATGTTACTTTGATTTGCAGCCAATCTAATATCACTGATACAGAATATTTGCAAATAAAATTCCCTTGCCATCATGACAAGAGTGTCTGCACATGTCCATATGTTTAATTTTTTTTAATATATTGGACCGATCATAATTTATGACTAGGGGGTGATGATGATTTTAGGTGTGGGGATTGGGGTGTCTCCCAGTTTGTTTTGGGAGGCAGGGGGAGGGGCAAATTGTGTACATATGAACTAGGGGGATCATCACTAAGGGATATTGGCTAAGAATGGTCTATATTGATGTTGCCTTGGTGAAGGTAAATACATGCATTTAATTAATAGAATTATCATTAGATTATTCACCTGAATGAATGTGTTATTATAAAAAGCTGAAACAGAATTTCATTTTTCTTTTATTATCAAACTTATATTTAATTTATACAGGTAAAGCTTGACTTTTGTGTGAGGGAACGTTTGAATGTGAAGTCAATGGAAACGGGACATCTTAAGCAACTATCTGAAGATATGAAGAATGAAAGTTTCAAGGAGGACCATCATATTCTGAAGACACCTGACTTTAATCTTCAGAGCGTAGTTGACACTTTCATAACTGCTTTAGTGGACAACATTTCATCTAGGTAAGTTACAGTGCAGCTTGAGTTTCCATACCTTAAATGCTACAAAGTAATAATACAACAGTGGCATTATATAATAATACTTAAATCAACATACAACACTGAACATATGATGAAGCTGTTTAATCTCACTCATTCCAAACATTTATTACAAACAAAACTCGTCATATGAGTGAAATATTCTCAAGTACGACGTTAAAACCCAATTTCACCTCACAAACAAAACAATGAACTTGTACACAGATAATGAATTATACTTTCAGATTTCCTTCTGATGACCTACTGACATCATTTGGTATCCTCTCCATGAGACCAATCAGCTTCTTGAATGAACAGCAGCTGGATGACTATGGGCGAAAGGAAATAGATAAACTCTGTCAGCACTATGGTGAAGACCAAACCATGACATGGAAGGAAGATGGTAAAACTCTGCACAAGACAACATAACCCATTATCAACAGTGAGCAAACTGTCAAAGAATGGGCTCTGTTAAAGAAGGTTGTCCTTGCCCAGCAGTATCCAAGAGACTCCTCCTGTGAATTGTGGAAATTAATTTACACCTATCATGCACAGGATTTCCCCAACATCATTAAACTTGGTCAACTGGCTCTCAAACTGGCTGTGCACACTGCAGGGTGTGAGAGAGGGTATTCTGTCCAAAATCTAACCCTAACTGCATCAAGAAATAGGACAGATTAATGAGAGTAAAACTTGGTCAACCAAGAAAAGCCTTTGAGTTTGAAGCTACCCTGAACAAATGGAAAACTGCAAAAGAATGACGACTCTATGAACTCAAATAATACAAGTAACTTTGATTGTGTTACTTGCTACTTGTGTTGTTCAGTGCCTCTGGTAACCCTTGCACAAATATGCTCCTCTGCCTTCTTGATGATATTGTCAATAGTATTCTATTCGTTGAATCTATTCTCGAATATGTCTTCCACCAGGTTGTTCGGCTCAAATCTACCATTTTATCTTCATGTTCGCATATGGTACATGTTGCAGAGTCGGTCAGATAAAGTACTACCAGCTCTGTCCTGTGAAATATCCTAGACCAGTCAGACTCACCTGTGTAACCTATACACAGTAACAATAAACCAGTTTGAATAATATTTGTCGCATTAATTTGTGTTAAGGACTCATAAAAGTTCTGAGGGGCTCATTTATTTCAGACTGGACTCATAGCTATTAAGCTAAGCGAGTCCCAGGACTCAGGCAGTGGAATTTGTAGATTTATCACTGGTAAAGGTTAGTGATTCTTTCCTGAATATAAAATATAAAATCTCAAACATCTGAATTAAGGTAAAATTATGCAAAGTAACAATGGTTTATCGATGTTTTTGTTCTTTTCTTGATATGTAGGGTCTTAAATATGTATTTGTGTTCTCTACATCCAGATCTCTAGGATGAGACAACCCCTACTAAGAGGAGAAGTAGTACCAGCGTACTAGACTACCTCAAAACTAAGTCAGAGCAGGAGGCAGAGCTGAGACGACAAGACAAGAACTGGATATGAGGAACTGAAACTTGAGAGAGAAAGATTTGAGCAGGATAGAGAAGAGAGGCGACAGAGAATGGAGATGGAGAGCAAAGAAAAGACAGCGTTGTTTGAACTCTTACAAAAAATTATTAACAAATAATTATTAAGAATGAAATGTACTACATATTCAGGAGAATGAATGTGTAACTTGAACTGTACATGTAACAGATTTGCATTGAATAAATATACAAGACATTGGAATATACAGTTATCTTTACAATCAATATTTCACTACCAGGGGCATAGCCAGCGTATTCGCAAAAGGAAATTGCTTACACATAATTGTTGTAACATTGAAATCACTTTGTCTTCATTTCTGGTGTCTCCCGCCGTGATATTGCTGGAATATTGCTTAAAGCGGCGTAAAACCATACTCACTCACTCTACATGAAAGCACAGGTCTCAAACAGTTATAATCTAGTTTAGGTGTGTATGTATTCTTGAAGTGATGATGGATTGAGCTGAAAGAAAGAGCTAGTTTCACTTCCATACAGGCAAGTGTGGCAGTTTGTAAGGATAGCAGCAACTTTGTAGTACAGTTTTTTGGTTCTTCTTGAAATAGTGTGAGCAACTTGCCAAATGTCCACAACACAGAGTCTGACGGCTGACATCTTCTTGTTGAATAGAGCTTGATTAGCTGTTATCACGCCTCCTCTGTATGGCGCTATTATGTAAGGTGAAATTGGATACGCTGGGTCACCATATACACAAAACACATAATTGTTTCGATCTGATTTGTCACTGCCAATATGCAAGATGCAAATTGTCTTACTTGAATGTAAGATGTCTTCATCAGTAATATCTGACACTGAGTTCTGAGAATCACAACTGACTCATGTACACATCACAATACCACTGCCCGGGGACGCTAAATTCCCATGTATCAGGTTTGTTTAGAACTAACCTTGCATGACCTTTATTATTCTAAGGGAAATCACTCTAAGTTAACATAAGGGAGACAATGCACATTGAACTATTTAGGATATTTTCAAAAGTAGATGACCACTTATGAGGTTCAAATCCTGACTACATTTAGTAAATGAATTATTTTGTAGATTTGTTTTTACAAAATATATTTTTTCAAATCCAAAAATGAAACATGTTATCATCGAAAAGGAACAGCAAATTAAAACAAAAATGTATGTGGCCCTACACTGAGGTGTGTGATACCTTTTAAGAATGTGATTTACAGAGGTATCTCCCCTTGAGTGATTTTATAGAATTACCTTTACTATCTTTTTCTTAGATAAAACACTAACCCTGAGTGACATATGCATGTTATTGATATATTTGAATTCCTTACACATTTTTACATAATTAAAAGCCTTAAATACTGTATTATATTATACTTTAGTTTCATTACAATGAACTTCAGGTGGTAAAATGACAAAAAATTGTACATCTACGAAGAAAAACAATATGTCATTACTCTACATACCACACTGTTAAACATTTTATTTTGTGAAATTACACATTTATCTTACTTCTTTACATTGCAACCAGTTTGGGTGAAATACTGAGTTTTTGTAGTCAGGAAATGGCATTTAAAAGGATGCAGCGGTTTACCTGAGAAAATGCTGAGTCATCGCTTTAACGCCCCCGGGCTCTTGGACTATAGCAGTAACACTATTGAAACGTGTATACTCATGAATTTGTCACGATTGTAGAATCGACTCTACTTTAACAGAGATTACTTTTAGCAGAGATTTCTTATGGATGTGGGAAGGGTTTTGTCGCTTCTATTCAAATTAAAACATTTTTTAATAGTAGCAGTACTATTTAAGATTTCCCAAATTCATGGAAGAAATACATAACTCCGCACTCCATGGTCCGGTCTCAGGCATGATATTTTTTTTGTCTCCAACCAAAGAAACACTAAGTTTGGAATTGTGCTGAATCAGGAATCGCAACAGTTCAAGGGCATATTTTGACTGATTATTGCTCCCTTTGAAAACTTAAAATTCTCATCATACGATCCCGATTTAACCCTCTGGATGCCACAGGGACATATATGTCCTTCCCCTTCAACCCTCAATTTCAAGTCCAATAGAAATCAAAATATCCCACGCACACAAATACACTTCACAGTTTCGAATTCTGCGGGAAATTTCCTGTTTCTTGATACCATCCACTATTTAGACAAAGCTAAAGTGCTGAAAATCACCTTTCAAAATAGGCTTCATCGAAAATGTCGCCGTTTTTGACACAGTACGAAATCGCGATTCACAACGTTATTTGCTGTATGTTTTGAAATGTGAAAATCGTATAATGACTGGGAGTATTAAATTTCGAAAATATATTCATGATCACGGATATCATTTTTACATGAAATTGCTAATTATAATTCTGAAACGTTGCCGATGAATCTAGAATCGGTTGGGATGTTTTCGAAAATGCACTTACACAAACGCCGTAGAGCGCTTTCCACCGTTGGATAGTGTTTACAAAATCACGCTTCGCGAAGGCCGATATTGAGACGCCTATTACATCACGTATGTTTCATATTCAGCTTCGAAATATGCATCAGTGAATTCCCCATACAGTTTAGAATCAAATTGCAACTGGTCTGTGTTACCAATACCAGCTGTCTAGATAAAATCAGACGAAACATATTGGGTGTGAAAACGAACGCTGTGCTTGAAAGACTGCGCTTGTCTGAAATGTAAACAAAGACAAATTCCGATTTTACACTGCGTAGCATTTTCTGAAATGTTTCACACAAGTGTTAGAAGATCAAACGTAGCCATAACTTCAACTTCTTTAGTTCCTATGATGTACAATATTCAATTTATTTGGACTGATATTTCAATTTCATATGAACAGGTTAATGAACGGTGATTTAATTCAACCTTATGTGTAAAACTGATAATATTAATGAAAATGATTTATATATGGTATGAAATGTATATGCACACATATTTAAAGGAATTGTCTTGTTCATTGCATAATTTTGTGTCGTTTTATAGACAAAGGAATCATGCATATTGATCGGCCAGGTGCGCGTTTGTTGGAAACGTTTTATGATTCTCTATCATTGTTTTCGATAATATAATCAATTCATATTCGATTAAATAATATTGTGATGACATGATATCAAACTCTAACTACATTTATAGGAAAATTGTTGAAAAATATATATACCATCTCATGTGCTAATTCGGGCAAATCTTACATCCATATTCTAATATATAGTTCCATATTACAAAGCTATCTCTTTGCATCTTTCATTGCATACGTATGAAGAGAAATAGCTACATAATCATAAACAAACAAAATTCTTATCCCAAACAAAATATTCGCGTGTTGTGAAATATAATTAAAGTTAAATTGATGCCAGACAGGTGCGCGTGTCGTTCACAATAAGATACGCTGCCAAACCGTCTAATTGTTGATATATTCAGGACACTATTTAAATGGAAAAATCAGTCATTTTATGTTTTCTCTAAACAGTGTTAAATTCTGACGTAGAAGCCGAGACCTTTTATACAATTAATGGATATTAGGTGAGTATGGTGGCTGATTCGGCCATCGCTTTCTCGCCTTAAAATTCGGAGGCGAGAAAGCGATATCACGAGACGAGAAAGCGATAACACGAGACGAGAAAGCGATAGCGCGAGACGAGAAAGCGATACCACGAGACGAGAAAGCGATATACCAAGGCGAGAAAGCGATAGAGCGAGAAAGCGATATACAAAGGCGATAGAGCGAGAAAGCGATATACCAAGGCGAGAAAGCGATAGAGCGAGAAAGCGATATACCAAGGCGAGAAAGCGATATACCAAGGCGAGAAAGCGATATACCAAGGCGATAGAGCGAGAGCGAGAAAGCGATATACCAAGGTGAGAAAGCGATAGAGCGAGAAAGCAATATACCAAGGAGAGAAAGCGATAGAGAGAGAAAGCGATATACCAAGCCGAGAAAGCAATAGAGCGAGAAAGCGATATTACCCACAATTCATGATCAGTCCTGTATGCGCATGATTGACTAGAAATCAGAAGCATAGTCGCCATTTGCAATAATGAACCAACGCATAGAAGGATATAACTGTAAGTCTTGTGGTTATTATTACTAATAAACAATAATATATTTTTTTCCATGTTGTTGAATAGAAGCTACAAATTGTATTCTATTTTCCATAAATATTTGATAGTTGTATGTAGAACCCTTATTGTCTACTTTTCAGGGAAAGAAGTCATCACGGAATATTTTCAAGCTGGTTACACTAACCATGAAATATGCTCTCTTCTTTGTCACAATGACAATATTCATATAAGGTATGTGTAAGTCATCTATTGATCTTTGTTTTAATTTCAATCGGCTAGCAGTTAATAGTAAGAGAGCTACTTGGACAAAATGTTTGCTCATGGCACTCAATGTAAACGTTGTTTATCTGTACAGCAAAGCAATTGAAAGTATCTAGATAACTTTTGTTGCGAAGTGAACAGGTGTTCATCACTAACCTAAACATATCCCACAAAGGCAGTTCATGAGAACAACGAAGAAATGTTCCAAAATGTGTCCTGCTATTTTTCGTATTATATTTCAAAATACTCTGTAAGAGATATCTTGTCTGTTTAGTGTAAGAACACTGAAACGAAGACTGAGAACACTTGGACTTAGTCGACACAAGGAAGTTATTGATCATCAGAGAGTAATACATGCCGTTCAGGTAACGTATCTACAACATAACCTAATCATATATGTTTGCCTATTTAGAACAATCACTACAATTATATTAATCGATATCATGAAATAGCATCATGTTGAAACGTGATTTTATGATCTTTCAGAGTGAGTTACAAGGAAGTGGTTGTTGTCTTGGCTACAGGAGCATGACGGAACGTTTGCGTAATGTGCACGGTTTGAGGGTTCCTAGGTAGGTAGGGAGGAAAAGATAAGGGGAAGGGGAGGAGGGAGAGAACATTCGTTTTACTGACTGTTAAAACGTAAATGCATACTTAATTCTCGTGATTATCTTCTCCGTTGTTGAAACGGGTATTATGACACTACCAGCATTTTGTGCAACGTAATGTTTACTTATTCATTTTATTTTACCCAGCAAGTTGTAATCATATTATGTTCTTGTATCATCTAGGGACTACGTTATGAAGCTTTTAAGGGTCATGGACCCCGACAGGGTTGCAGTTCGAAGATCTCGCCGCTTTACACGGCGTTTATATCACAACAAAGGGCCAAATTATCTCATACACATCGATGGCTACGACAAACTGAAACCATTTGGGTTTGCTATCCATGGTGCAATATGTGGGTGAGTTTTAAACCAAACATTGTTCTGAATGATGCAGTATTGTTTATTTGAACCCTGTTTTATTTTCATTAGAAATAGGAGAAAAGTTTACAAAGGGCGAATTAAAGTCATTGGAAGAATAAATATATATTCCATTCAACTTTCTACAATAATATAATCACAAACAATCATGGCGAACATCCTAAATATTCAGGGAAACAGTTGTCTTCCTACAGTCTCTATTATGTATGTGTTCACGCACGTTAATTTTCAAAAGTACTGTGTGATGTGCGTTTATAGTTACGGCCCACTCCACTATAGATATTTTATTCTACATGATTTCAGTTGTATTTGTTTTGTTTACAAATTTGATTAAATGGTGAATGGTTGCCATTAATAAGTGTTTGGTCCATGGTTTGGTTTAAGTCTCTGTTCAGAATTCCTGTCTTAATTACTTACATGTTCAAAGTAAAAAAGAAACGTTACCAGAATCTATAACGTGATTTCCAATGCTCTGTACTGTTAATGCTTATGTACTAACGGTGCGGTTAGATAGCCCAATGGTTAAGGTGTGCTCTCGTCACGCTGACAACCCGTGTTCTATTTCCCACATGGGTACAATGTGTGAAGCCCATTTCTGGTGTCCTCCGCCCTGACATACTGTAATATTGCTAAAAGCGGCGCAAACCCATACTCACTCACGTATGCACCGACAAGAGTCAATAAAAAATATATTTAATTCTAAAGTAACACAAACTTAAGGATGCAGTGTTTCAACAAGGTGATATTTTCAGCTATTCGAGAAGAATACTATGTCTAAAAGTAGGGAGGAGCAACAACCACCCATACACTGTCGCCCGTTTCTTCATGGAATATGTTGAAAGTATTGGAGGTATGTGAATATTCCTTTATTTATTTATACGTGTTTTCTTTCTGCGTACTTTGCAAATACTTGATATTATCTATTGATTGTTTTTGGTTTTTTACGAATAGGCGTTCCACGATGCATAAGAGCTGACCGAGGCAGTGAAAATGTCTTTATTGAGGATCTCCAAAAAGCTATGAGGTGGGAGCACACTGATGACATGGCTGCAGAAAACAGTTTTATGTATGGGAGTTCGCACCGAAATCAGGTCAGTTTAAACTCATTTAAAGTAATTACATAGTATCATTTAAGCATTTTCAGTCTTCACAAATTGGAAACATATTCCTTCAAAACAAGACAAGAGTATATTGTCTGAGCATAAAAGAACTCCATAGAGTATGTAGCTAGGATAGCAGTCCACTTTCCGCTGATACTTTTTCGTTATCTCAAGTCAGTGAAGTGTTAATTAATCAACGTATATACGTTTGTACATCTAGTAGGGATGATAATAGCAATATAATCCGTACGTTCATGCTTTGTTGCACGCACCGGTCACAGGTATGCCAAAGTATATAAACCAAACATTCACTCTAAAGTAAGTAGAAGCTTCTAGGGAATATTTTAAAATGTCCCCAAACTGTAAGAACGGTCTATGTGCGTTAACGCACTCTCCCGATCATGTCCCAAATGTGTTCAGAAGGGGAAATATCTGGGCGTGTCGCCCTCGTGACATTCTGACGCTGCTGGAGGTGGGCATTGCGCAAAACATGATGCTTGTACATCATTTCTGATCATTTGACAAGGAACTCGTATTTCATTAAATGATTACAATTTTGAATCCATAGCATTCGCCTTTTGAGCTCTATTTCTAGTGACTTTTGACGCCATGAACGGAATCGAAGGGCCATATTCTGAATTTCTTGGTACATGTTAGAGTCTGCTGATGACATACTGACACACAGTGTACTGTACGCTGACAGTTTGAAACATTACACAGCCCGTATACGAGTGCACACGATAGTTAAATAGATAGTTTATGACGAAACAATGAATGAAATAAAATATAGCATAGTTCTATGATAAACGGATTGAATAATTGCACCACAGACATAAGTCGATCTTCCTTGAAAGTGTCAAAATAGAGAAAAGAACCTTAGGTCAGTGTTTGGCGCTACTATATGCGGCACGTGCAAACGATCGGATTTGGTTTTTGTGTCATGTTTCACTTGTTCCATATGATGTTTGTCTTCAACACATGTCTTTGTTCTAATTAGGGCTGTCTGTCTATAAACATCGATAATCGTTAACTAAATGTCTATATTGGAGAAGTAGCATTGAGCAAAAAAACCAACCAAATGTCAGAAACAAAACAACATGCTTGAGCACATACATTTATCCATGGATTCTATAACATGGTACAAGAACATTTGTAAGCTGTCAACCATTAAAGATATTACAATGTGCATTGTGTACATAGATTAAAACTGCATTTCGTCTTTATAGCTTGTTTACGATATTTTCGTTCACAAAAGTTTCATAGCTACAATATTTCTTTCCATTGGCTATATTTCCTATTAATTATGTTTTACAGATTAAAGATAGTATGCAGCAGAGAGGGTTCGGGTGATCCTCGCACAGTCATGATGGTAAGGCTCATCATCAGCTCAGGGCCCTTGCCCCCTCTACACGCAGCCCAGACAGCGAATGGGACTTCTCCCAGGAAACGCTGCCTAGTCGAACCCACCAAGAACTTTCCGGAGAATATGAAGGCTCCCCAACACTGCAGCCTTCTGCATTATCCAGATTGTCAGAAGGGTTGTACTCTCCTGATCTGCGCCAAGAGATCAGGAGGTACCAAACCAAGGACACCGAGAACAATGGGGAGCCTGACAACAGTGTCCTGGGGATGCAAGCGAGACATTTCAAAGGCGAGGTCCGCATATTGAAATGCTTTTCCTTAATCTTGCCAATCACACTGGTGTCAAACGGGACAGAAAATTCAATGACATAAATAAATTCATTGGCTTTATCAAAAAGGACAAGATCAGGTTTGTTGGCAGGAATTCTTCTGAGGCTGTATATGGGCCTATTCCACAGAAGTTTGAAAGCATCATTTTCCATGACGCCCTGGACATGTTTAGGGTCGTACCATGGATGGACCTCGGAGTCAAAGCAACGAGCCATGCCATCATGTCGTTTAAGATATGCTGTTTGTGCCAAGGAAGGGCATCCACTGACAAGGTGTTGGACAGTCTCCGTGAATTCATTGCAAAGTCGACATTTGATATTGATATTTTGTTTAAGAATCACATCCAGGCGATTGCGAGTGGGGAGTGACTGGTCCTGAGCAGCAAAAAGGAAGCCCTCATTTTCATATTTAAGACCAGCCGACTTCATCCAGGCGAAGGAGTCGGTGGAATTGCTATTCTGTTCAACACACTGCATGTACACACGATGCAATGGCTTCTCAGAAAGCTTCTCCACAAAAGACCGACTCTGGGCAGACTTGGTGAAGGACTTCACCTGGTCTACTCCCATTGCTGTACCGTCCAGCAGTACATCGCCATCAACAAAATCTACCTCAAATTTCAGATTCTGTCCAACAACCTTGGCACGCTTAAGATAGCTGTCGAATTCCTTGCATGAGTCTTCACATGCATCACCAGAGGATCATCTAATAAATAAATAAATATGTGCAAAAGTACACAAAAAAATTCTATCATGAAGAGCCTCCACATTAATCAAACCCCGACCTCCAGAATTGATTGGCATGTTTAAACGGTTAAGAGAGGAACGAGGATGGTGGGCTCTGTTATCAGACATGATCCTTCTGGTCAGACGGTCAAGACTCTGGATGTCTTGTTTTGTCCAATCAACTACTCCAAAGGAATAGGAGAGGACTGGCACAGCAAAAGTATTGGTGGCTTTGACCTTGTTTCGAGCATTTAGCTCTGAGCTCCAGATTTTCTTTAAACGAGATTTGTACTCGACCCGAAGTTTGTCTTGAATCTGGGCATTCTGGAGCTTGTCTCGAACTTGTATTCCAAGATAGGTGTAGGCCTGATCTTCCACAAGATGCTCAATAACTCCTCCCCCTTGTAACTTCACCGAGCCATCATAAGTTACCTTGCCACGTTTCATACGAAGAGTATTACATTTGTCGAGTCCAAATGTCATGCCAATATCATTAGAAAAGGACTCGACAAGGAGAACCTGCTCTTTCAAATTGGTATCTCCTTTGGCAAGGAGCTCGATATCATCCATGTAAAGGAGATGAATAAAAGGTGTTGGGGATCATTGCTGAGGAGGTCCAGGATGGTAACCCTCCTCTTTATTGAGCAGAAAGCTCAAAGGATTTAAAGACAAACAAAAAAGCAAAGGACTAAAGAAATCCCCCTGAAATATTCCCCTTCTGATTAAAATAGATTCCGAAGTTTGCACCTGCCCTTGCGAGTATATGAATATTAATATTAATATGTCTATTTCAAGACACACACACATACATACGTGTATGTACAACAAGCATGCATGCATTCATCAAATTTGAGCTTTGAAGCATGATAAATAATTTTGGGTAAATTTGTCATTATTATTTCACATCAGATTCCCGATTTATATTTTTCTATATTTTTAAAGAGAATAGAAAGATGGTGGCTGTCCATGCGACAAGGTGGAGGTGATTTTTGGATAAATCTCTTCAAGGACATGGAATCGCAGGGTATAGTGGCAACAGACAACACGCTTCACATGTATTTTTATATAAATATTTGTATTTTCATATAACTTACGTATTAAAAAGTATGTTAATAATATGAAAGTAATATTGTATATAAAGACTAAACAGTTAGCTACTCGTGTGTAAAAGACAGTTAAGTAAAGTGTTCAGTTGTTACTTTCACTTTTAATGCTCACAGAAGATGAAGTAAACATGATACATATCAGTAAAGTGAACCACCTATCACGTCACAGTGTGGATAATGTTTTATGATGAAACTGTAATTTTACGGCCACTGGTCCATTATGAAAAATTGCAGAATGTAGAGGTTAAGGAACAATTCATAGTTCGAAAATAGCAAACTTAATGTTGGAAAAATCTTGATATTTCCTCGTGCAGCACCAGCGGTGATTGGTTCCATTTTTGTCGTGAGGTGTGTATGTGTGTGTGTGTATTGTTGACTAGGACGGTGAAAAAAGATCGGTGGTCTGGGACATATTGTTGAAATTGACGAATTGAATTTTGTGAAACGTAAATTCAACATGGGAAAACGAGTAGGACAATGGGTTTTGGGGGCATGTGTAGCGTGTGTAGATAAACCTGACTCAAACACTAAATCCAGCTAATCCTAAACCACAGTCAGAAATGATTGTTGGAAAGCGTACGAGTGTTTAAAAGAGGAGACTTCACGCATCTGACAGTAAACCCCTCAATACATTTCAAGAACCCGGAAACAGGTGCCCACACAAATACCATTGAATCGTATTTTGGGGCCCCCGAGTCGTTCACTGCCTAGATCTGGCACCACCAAAGCCTTATATTCCTCGTATTTCGGGGCATTCTGTGTGCGCCCGAAATATTTCAGTGACCGTGACGACAAGTTCATTGCATTCCTAGAACTGATCGAACGCGTATATAACCCACACGCAAAGGATGACAAACTTGTAAAACCTCGGTGATCTCTGGCTCCGATACAGGCGATCGACAATGACGAATACCTATATGATTTTGTTTTGTGAACAATTAAGTAATACAAAACTCCCATCCCCTAACCCTAAAAATAGGGCTAAAGGCTAAAGACGATAGTAAGAAATGCCCAAGGGCTATTTGCGCACTTCACTTCGCGCAGTTCTAAAAATGGCGGCGTTCTAAAAGTGTGTCCGATATTATGTAATCTTTCCAAAAGTGGTAATTACCAGAAGAAGAAAAAAAGGTTATTACCAATTTTTAAAACAGAAATTGAAAAAAAAACCAATTTGACCCCTCTTGGGTTTCGCAATCATATGATCTAAGGAACTTTTCTTTGTCATTGAGCGAGTGTCGTAGGACATTACACTTTAGTTTATTCAGTCGCTGTACACGTCGATTCCGAGGCGCATTATGGGAGTAGAGTGCGTTCCCATCCTGCGATTTGTGGTATACACAACAAATGATGTAGCCGATCACGCGTCGCAACAGAGACTCGTGCAGATGCGCGTATATCATTGCTATGCAACCAAGTGTTCTTCGGCAACAATGGTGTCCTTTTGTGGAAGTGATAGTGAAGATGACACTCTTGAATAGACCGATCCAGTCTGTCAATCAAAACTGGCGCATGCGTCAATTTTGGCCAATCAGCAGGCCGGGCGCGCTGTGTGGATTTGTCAGACTTATTTCCGGGGTCAAACAATGCATCCGAAGCGATGTGCTTCGAATTATGCCATTTACACTCGCTATATTTATTACATATTGCTGCGATTTAATGTGTACCTTAACAAAACCATTACGGTCAAGACAACAAAAATGGAGGCGGATCAAGAAACGCGAGAGGCCTGACGATCAGTTAAATGTCTGCACCATCCTTCAGGAAACCTACGTCTGCCTGCTGATGAGAATTTGCACGAATGTCCACACTTTTGCACATGTGCAAAATCATTACCAATTGATGACAACAAATAGCAGTTTAAGACTTTGCAAGTGTTATAAACACGGATAATTCTTGTAACTACAAAATTGTTTTTGCTTAACGCTTTTAGTCACTACTAGGCATTGAGTTGGTACGCCATAAAGCTCAAATGAGACAGGCGAGAAAGCCGTGACACAATGTAAACAAATCTTCATTTCGGTTAGGGTCAACCGAAATAGCAAAACTTGTTACATGAAAGAACAATGTGGCGGATATTGTCCCATTCGCTCTTAGATATTCTTCAATTTGTCACACATTTTAGGATGTTTTAAGTTTCCTAAGCACAATCCGAAGGCCTACAGCATCTTGTTAACAGAGCAAAATATTCGAGGAGTAATATTTTTTATTCAAACGGAAATATTGTTAGTGTCAGCAGTTGCCTATCATGCAATATCCAAGTATCAAAATTAGTTCATATGAGTGCCTATAAAACCATGCTTTAAATATTTCAGATTTTGTATAAAGAGTTGCATGGGACTTTGAACTGAATTACCTTCCTCCAGGTTGATCGAATACGAAAACTATGTGAGAAGAATAGTGACTTTCTGGAGTATTGGACGGAGTGAAATAAAGTGTATATCTTAATTATGAGAACATTATTTGAAGTTTTGTTACCACATAAATTATTCACATATAATGATACATTTTAGGAGTAATATTACAACTGTAATTTTGATTAATTCACTGGAAATGATATCAAGGTATGTCTTAAGAATCTTTCTTTTTTTAGTAAACGTGGAAGGGTAATAAAATTAATAATAATCTAATCAATAATAAATAATTATTTAATTGATTGACATATCAGATTTTTTGATTTTTAAGGCAGAACTAGGCAAACAAACACCATACATATCATGGCAGGACAATCACTTGGTATTAACTTAGTTTCTTGGCTCCTGCTTAGAGATGTTTTTGTAAATACTACATTTACTAATAAGATAATTCTGAAAGTGATTGCTAGTATCATAACTCATTAAAGTTATTTCAACATCGAGAACATTTGAAAAAGCAAAGGCTACGTTTTGGTCAAACCCTGGTCAGGCATTATGTAGTCCTGGAACAGAATAACTTACAAAAATCTCAGGTGACTTTTCATGTAACGGAATAAAGATTGAAACATGTATTTAACCCATATTTGATGTAATTCTTCTTATAAATCATAAGTTTTTTAGGAGGTTACTAATATTTGAAGAATGAGCCAAAGCTAGTGTTTATTAAGATGGTGGATTTGGACAAATTGTTCAAGGTTTGTTGATGGTTATTTGCAAAATGAGCTTCATATTAAATTGCACACTGGTTTGTAGGAGGTGAACGCTTCAGGACATTTTCATGTCTGTTTTCCTAAACCTTTGTTATGACTTTTACCAAATTTTGAATCAACTTTACTATAATTTTTATGACACCAGTAAGTATCTCAGAAAAGGAAATAGATCAAAATCAGTGTTATGTCCTCTAGGTATTGTCTCAGATCTAATAAAACAAAGATTATCATTGTTTAATTAAGAAGCAATAATTGTATTGACAGAAGGCTTTGAACATAGGATATATTCTTTGCACCTTATTTACACTAGTAGTTAGCAGTTAAACATCTCTGATGAAAAAACAATAGATCTACATTTGTATTTTGTGTAACATTCTATTTCAATGCTAGTTAATTGTTCGGATAACTGTGGATTCTCTGTTCCAAGATTTTGCATCACATGTTTCCTATTTCTGGAAGATGGGTCAGCTAGTGTACAGGTGCAGACTGTATCTTGGATCTTCTTTGTGTTCTGGTGCTGTGACATACCTGTACATAAACGCTGGCAGTTCATGAAGTCCAGTATTGTGGAAGTTTGTATGTAATTTAGGATTCCACAACAAAGTACATATAGAAAAATTAAATGGAAATGATGATTAAAAAAAATGATTTCCTTATATTCAGTGTCATTTTATCATGGTGTACAGATTTTGAAGAGAGAAACTTTACTGAGAGTTGCTGCAGATCAGCTGTTGAATATTTGCTTCTGGGTATGTCCAGATACGTCCATGGAAACATATTGTTTACAAGCCCAATTACTTTTTCCAGATTTCCAAATAAGATCAAATAGGTCATGCTGTGATTGATTTGTTTACATCAATTGTACAGACAAATAAATTGCATGAAGTAGTAGACGGGAAATATTTTCTGCTTTTTTATTTACCATTCTCTTAATTCATTAAAAGATAGAAACCCATGTTTTCAGATTATTGAACTACATTTGAACAACGCAAACGGATATGCAAAGGCGCCACACGCAGTGTTGATAATCTATTTATAGATACCGAAACGATCTGCAACATGAACATGTGGTTGTGTTCACGAGTTTTAAAAAATTATAAACCCAAACAACAAAATTCAGTTATCCTTTCCCTGCTAATATCTGTGACGGAGGTGAATTGCCAGATAGATTAATCGATTCGAAAGAAATTACGCTTCCTACAGTCTCAGCAGCTAGTCGAGACGCTTTTTCATCGGGCATGTAACTCATTTTCACTCGCCAGGTGTAATCTGCCAGCTAAAATATATTAAAAATCACATACGTATAACTTGCCTGTTTAAGTAACATTCACAAACGACGGATACCAAAGTATCACAAGCAGAATTCATCAACAACGTTCGCAATCACGTAACGTTTCGCCGGCGGTGACGCCATTGTGATTTGCCAGTGGTTGTCCCCCCTAATGTCAAAAACGAAGTGGGCGGGGCTTATCGGCCGAGACTGGATCGGTCTATTAGTGGTAAACGGCATGCTTGCCAATTTACAACCCGAAAAGTTAAGATGTCTCGTGGATTACCAGAAGAGGAGAGCCCCGGGGGCTTATAACTAAATAATGCAAGAACTAGGGACCGACCTAATAATTTTCTCCGAATGGACCGGACAAATTTTGATATCTTGTTGGAGCGTGTGACTCCTCTTATAGCGAAGAATGACACCCCGATGGGCAAAGCCCTTCCAGGAGTCGGCTATAACTCTCAGATATTTTGACCCAGGTGTGTATGTCAAATAATTTATTCAGCGTCTTCATGAATTCTAAAGATACAAACACTTATTACAATGACTGCAATACCAGTGACATGGAGCTGAGAATCATGTGAATGGTGAGACT